TGGCCATCAAAAGGCTTGACTCTGTGTGTTTAATTTTTCTTTCCCCATATATTTTCATGCTTCATTTTTTGCCTAGAATTTTTTTGGGTACTGCAAGTTTTTGTTTCATTATTTACTCGACCTTCTTACATGTATTTAAAGCTCTTTGAATCTTAGGAGAGATAGCTTTGGATGCTATTTTGATAGGAAGATCATATGACTCCAAGAGCTTTTAGAAACTAGATATTGAATGAAGGAATACTTGTGTTGAAAATAAATTTAGAAAACAATGTAGTTGTGGCTAATCTGTCACCTTAATGAAACTATTTTTAGGTTATGTTTTTTAAATTTTTAAGCTAGAGTCAAGGTAGGTAAAAGGAAATTTTTAGGCTTAGTCTTTAGCTTACTTCTTTGAAATTCTCTTGGAGTCATGATTTTGAAAATTTGAGAACTTTTAAAACCTTTTCAAGACTTTGAGGCATCACTTTATTTTTATTTTTTTTTTCACTAAGCCATTTTTGGCTTTATTAAGGCTTTGCCTTGCTTTTCTTTTATCGATTTTTTTTTCATTCCTTACACCTCATTTCCTTCCAAAATGAATGATAATATCCAAAAATATGTTAACACAGTGGGTTAGATAAAAAAAAAGGGGATAATATTTAAAAGAAAAGGCTTGTGCTTTTTATTGTGGCTAAAATAAACAAGGAAAAGGAAAATTTTATAAGACTCAAAATTAAGGTACTATAGATGCATCATTAAAAGTTGACTTGAAAAATGCTCAAACGGTCCAAGAAAATGTATAGATCATCTCTTAAATCAAATACAATTTAGAATTTTACCTTAGAGAATTGAGTAGGTGAATTCTAAAGTAATATTCTTATTTTCAAATTTCTATGCAACTTAACATCACAAAACTCTTTACAAGAATTATTGCATTTCATAGAAAAAGAATAAAGAGATATCCATAAAAACCATATCCAAAGAAAAACTTACTTAAGAATTCATTCAATTGCTTCACCATACTCATAATTGTCCTCATATCATACTCAATTTAAATTTTAAAAGTTCATGCAAAATTAACTAAGCTTGCATAATAGTGAAATCTAGCATGCTAATTTGGTTTGAAAAGTTTTTGAGAAAAATAGTTAAGTTTAAAAAACAAATTTAGAAAGCATTCTTCCCCTCCCTACATTTACTTTAAACAATAAATCAAAACAATCAATTAAGCATCCAAGAAAAAGAAATAATTCACTAAAATTTTGCTTTAAGATCGAATCATCTTTTTGTATAAGGCATTTCTTTTCATACTTTTCATCCCTACGAAACTCAAAAACAAAAACAAATCAAAGCATACTAGTCCTAATAAAGATAACAAAAACAATTAAAGTAAAACTTAGGTTACCTCCCAAGTAGTGATAATTTTAGTTAAGTTTGATCATACATAAAATCTAAATCTATGGTCAGTTTAAGTTGGATAAATAAGGTGTTCTCATTTTTTTCCTTAAGTTTAATGAAGGATGTTTCTAAATGTTCAAGCAATTTTTTAACTGAACAACCATCATCAATATGTTTCTCTTTCATTGTCATCTTTAAGTCATCTTGTATTTGATCTTCATAAGGCTAAAAAAATGACATGAATGGACTAAAAGGTTCAAACTTAGCTTCAGTAAGAATAATGTTATGCCCATCTTGAGGTTCAGATCCTAAAATTGATTCCTCGTCCTTAAAATCTACCACCTTAACAAATGTTGGCATATTAATCACAATAGGCTCTTCATTATCTTGACTTTTTTTAGGATCTTCATTAATCTCATACTCTTCTTTTAGTTCCTCATCAACAGGTTATATACTTTCAAGTAATGTTCTTCTTACTTGCATCAATATTTTTTTATCTTTAATCGAATCCTTAATGTACTCTTGGGGATCCTTTTCTTAAACACATTTCTCATTTTCTCACACAGTGTTAGATTTAAAATTACTAGGTAAGATCTTCTAAAAGTGTGTGCCAAGGGTAATTGCTAACTATTAACCTTTCTTTTCAAGGTTCTTAAGAAAGGCTTGGCTTTAAAGCATGATGACAGTCTAATCTTAGAGCATTTGGTTTAACACTTTCTTTAAAAAAAGTTTTTTCTTAGGGTGAGAAAGCATATTGTATACAGAAATGGTATTGTAGTGGTGGAAAATCAAGGATGTTAAGCTAAAGGGGTTGCTTTTGACTATTTTCCCCTAAGTAATTAGGGTGACTCTCCCAACCTTGAGTGTAAGTGTTTGAGTAAAAGTTAAATTGGTTATCTTAATACCTATAACTATTGTATTTCCCTTATAACCATAACAATTATAAAATGTGCTTTGAACTAACTAAATATGTCTAAGATTATACTCTCTTTCAAGAGTATCTACCTTTTTAGCTAAAGAGACTAAGTGTGAGGTTATGGTAATAAGGGGTTTTTATTATACCTCTCAATAGTGCACCACGATCTAGGGTTTTAAAATGGTGGTTGGATGTGAGAATAATCAAATCATGGCTCATTATAATCCCCAAAGGTTTTGACCTTAGTACAATAAAGATCTGACAAAACAAAAAAGAAAAAGAGAACGTATTTGAACAAGTAAAAGTAAAAAGTATTTAGATTACAAAAGCGTAGAAAATCTTTATTGATATTGGATCGAATACCGCTATAATACCAGGCAACGACACCAAAACTTTTATTGCCTATTTTCACAATGTCTGAAAGCGCACAAATTAAATCAAGTAATAAAGTGATAAGTATCAGAACATCATCCTACAAGGATTATAGAATTGATTGCTATGTGGATTCAAGTACCAAAGTGATAGACTACTATTTTATATATAAACTGATAAAAAAAATTAACAGTCTTTAAACCAAATCCATAATTGATTAAACAATGGTGCTTTTTACAAATTGAAATTAGTAATTGAAGGCTATTTTAGTGTTACTATATGACAATTGTCCTGGACTTGTAACAAACTTTCACCATTCTTTTTGACTAAAAAAACATTGAACATAATCAACCACATTTATTTGTTCATTGATTAATAAAATTACCTAAAACATAATGAAATTTGAAGTCAACAATTTCACTAAGTCATGAAACACAAAATTCAATATTTTAGAAACCATATGTCTTATAAAAACTCTACTTGATAGCTTTATGCCTCTAATTTACCTCTCAGCCATTAGCCTCCATCAATTCATAAATTTTTTTTCAAGAGTCAGTTTTATTTACACCATTCGTTCTTGATTCATCCCAGTATATATCATAAATTTTATCCTTCTGTTCTCCAGCAATCAACCATCTGTTTTACAAGGCCTCTGTATTTTATTTAGTTTTGATAGTTTGATAATCAAGATAAATCACCTTTGATCTTTATTTTTTAACATTTTCTATAGTTTGTATTTTGTCTACCCATGTAATTTATTCTCTTCTCTATGTGCAAATCAAATTTCAAAGCTTTATGGATCACAACCACAAATCATGATTACAAAAAAGTCATCATCGATGATAAAATTTAATAGAGTTTTAAAACATAGATATTTAATTTTACTCTGGTTGTGATTTTTTTTTCAATTAGATTATTTTATGAAATTAAGTTTAAGTCATAAACACTCGTTTTTCATTGAGATTGAATTGTATAGAATTGAGTTTAATTTTCTTTAGTTTTATTATTTTTTGAAAAGTCATTTGAAAAAGCTATAGTTGAACTTGACAAACTAGGAAAAAAGTCATACAAAGACAACACTTTCATCATGCAACTCCTAAGGGATGACCTTACTTTTTGGACTTCAAACATACAGGTCAATGCCAACCCTCTTTCTCTCTCTCTCTTTCTCTGACATGTACAAATACACATGTAAACCCATGGTAACGGGGATTTTGACATATCCAAATGACCAATGCCTAACTTTATGTGATATTGGTTGTCATACATGACCAATTAAATAAGTCATAGAAGCTGTTGTAAACTGTGTTAATCCTA